AATTTTCCTAAGCCAGGAAAACGCAAGCGGCAAGCTAATCGAAACAGAAGAAATGCTGAGCAGCAACTAGGAATTAAAAGAAGTGCTTCTCTAATGTGTGATATTGCTTACTGAGTCATAATATAATTTATTGATACTAAAGTTAAGGTCTTAAATTAATTATTCCCTTTTCTCTCTCAAAATGAGCAGTTGTGCGGTTGAGTAGAAGTGAACAAGTTTAAAAGTAATCAAAATGACAGAACAAATTGAGTTAAAATATCGATGATTGATGAATGGTCGAACATCACTAGAAAATGAGCATTCCGTAGTTCACAGTCGCATAACTGAGAGTTTAGAGGGACCAATTCGGAAAACAAAATTAAACGCCTTAATTGAATCTTGCAAGAGTATTCTCGAAAAAGCAATAGCTAAAAATGATGAACTTGTGATATTAGCTAATAAAACCGATATCCCTAGCAAATTATTAACGGAGTTGGCTGCATGGTGGGATAGGATAGTTAAAGTTAACTATGAAGTAACTGGTAAAGCTCGCGCTCTTATGGAATCTAATCAAGCTTCAGAGGTCTGCGTCAGTGAAACTAGTCGATCAAAAGTTTCATCAAAATGGCAAAATCCGGATCGAGTAAGCAAAGCTCAATGACTTCATTGACCCCCAGTGAGCGCCGCAAAGAACTGCTCCTAGCGAAGATGAAGCGAGAAGAGTTGGAAAAACAATATGAAGCAACCTTAAGACTGAAACAACAGGAAGCCATCATCAAAGAGCAACAGCATCTGATTGAGATGGAACGAAAACAACAAGAAATTAAATTTGAAATTGACCGTAAAGAGCAAGAATATCGTTTACGAATCGAAAAAAGTCGGCTTGAAATGGAACGATTTAGCGCAGAAAATCGTATTAAAGTAGCTGAAGCAAAAATGGTTGAAACTGAATACCTCGAAGAGTCTGAAATAGATCACCATCTCGAGCTGGCGTCCTCCGATGATCGTCGTTCTGACAGGGTAAACGATTGGGTTGATCATGCATTAGAAAACCAAAAAAGGCCCGAGGTAGTTCCGTCTTCTTCAAAGTTTGAAACCTATATAAACAAAGAAAGTGGTTCGCATCAAAACAGAAATGTGTTCACAGCGGGAGCTTCACCTCGGCGATCGTTGCCGAATCAGACTTTTGGTTGTATCCCTATCAACCAACCGTCTCCTTCAGCGATGGCGATGGATTCAAGCACGCTGTATCCACCAATCCTGAGCACGAAACGCAGTCATTGCTTATTTCAAATAACGCTACACTTTGCGAAAACAATAATACGTCATTATTTAATCCAGCTGTAACAGCAGCTACCAATACTCCGGTATGCTGTTACTTTTCTGTACCTCATCCTTCGTCTTCCATTCAAAATATCCCCGTCAACAACTTTAATAACGATTCTCGAGTTGTTGGAAACATGCCCGCCATCTCCAATCAATACTCTGGATACACCCCCCATGCCATTTTCTCACAAACCCCTGCAAATTTAATCTGCAGAAATCAAAACTTGCTATCACATATCGTGTATAGCAACCCTGCTTCAGTGAACAATCCGTTTAGCGGACAGTCTGCCGTTAATAATCAGCCCAATGTGCCACTAATGTCCCAGTGGACACCCGCAGTCGCCCAATATATCGCTGGGGTAACAAGTGATGGTAACAAAAACCCATCAGTTGGTGTTTTTTCATCCGTAACGCCAATATCTCAGCAACAATTCCCGCACGTATCAAGTGGTGGTACCGTTTACTATGGGTTTCCCAATCACGACGCATCAGCTGAAAACTCTTACATATATCAGCAGCAACCTTTTGCAGCTGATCCTAGCAACACATTGCCGTCGTTGCAACGAGCTCCCCAACCGCAAGCCGTGACACTGAATGACTTAGTCCAAGCTCTGTCAGTCTCAAAGAAGGATCCCCTTCCACAATGGAAGCTGGCCCAGTACGATGGCAACCCGCTCCAATGGCACAAATGGTTTGGCCAATTTTGCAGTACTGTAGACGCAGCGTCCCTAAGCGATGATGTGAAGTTAACTTATTTAAAAACATTAGTCACGGGAAAAGCTAAGTCAGCCATAGCAGAGTTCGCATACAGTGGAAGAATGTATAGGGATGCTCTGAAAACTCTGGAAAGAAAGTTTGGCCAGCTACAAAATGTAATTACGGCCCACCTTGATAAGTTGTCCAGTTTCCCGCAACTTCGAATGCACAACTCTGAGAACATCATGAGCTTCTCGATGACCATTTCAAGTCTAGTGGCTGTCTTTAGATCTCTTGATTATGACGAAGATTTGAAAAGCGTCTCTTTGTTAAATCAAGCTCTTTCGAAAATTCCACCAAACATGAGAGAATCGTGGTCACTTTTTGTCGTGAAACGTAATTGGTCACGCCCCAACCTAATTGACTTTAACAATTGGTTAAAAGATAAAGTAGAAGCTCATGAGTAAATGAAAAATATGCCTGGAAAGCCCAAAGTCGAAGAACCATCCAAAACTAAAGCTGTAACGAGAGTTTTTGCCTCGACAAGTACAGTTGAGAAAAAGTTTGAATATCCTTCTTGTATCCTCTGCAAGGAGAAACATGCCTTGTGGAAGTGCTCTGTGTTTAAGGAGAAAACTCCAACACAACGTGCGAAATTCTCTGCGGAAAACAAATTGTGCTTCTCTTGCTTACAAGGGAACCACGCATTCCGGCAATGTCCCAGAGCAAAGAAATGCACCAAACCAGGTTGCACTAGCACTCATAGTGTACTTCTCCATGGGGCTGAACGTGTTTTTCCTAGTCAAAATCCGGCCAAAAATGATAGCCGTACAAGACCCAACGCTGGTCAACCAAGATCTAATGCAGAGCCGGATAAAGCGAGCACAAACGCTGATCGAAAATCATTCAGCGAGAATATACCAAACGCAAGTTCGAATCATGCAGACATTCATCCCGTTCCGTTGGATGTAAGTTGCGCAATCTCGAACGACCAATCATCAATCATAACATCGAAAGAGTTACTGTCCATAATCAAGCTCCAAGTTTCCACCGCTTTCCAGATTGCTGATTGTTTAACATTGTTTAACACCTAGAGAGTGCTGACTGTTTAACATCTATTCATTCCTGGATATCGGCTAAATTAGTCAAATGTCTGAATCTTTCAGGAAGAGATTTGGATCTCACAGTAAATGGTATTAACACAACGACTGTTGTTAAAACGAAACAAGTTCAGATGAAGGTATCTTCTAACTTCGATGGATTCGAATACAAATTCGATTTAACCGCATTTGTAAAGGATGAACTTAAAGTCGGTACCGATACCGTCAACATCCCTGCATTACAGAGCAGTTGTCCGTACCTTGCTCCAATCAAACCAATTGTGTATAGCTACGCCGATATAGACTTAATAATTGGTCAAGACTCCTTCCATGCTATTCGGCCTGAGGAGTACATCAAGAGTGAGGCCGATCCAAACACTTCGCCCGTCGCGGTTCGCCTTCCAATAGGCTGGTTCTTGAGCGGCCCAATGCCGACATCTACTGGTTTCCTTTCTACTTGTTTCAAGTGCAATACGGATGATACCGAACTAGCTTGTCAAATCAAACGCTGGTATGAAAGAGAGTCATACGGAGCCTACAAACAGGTCGATTCCCGTTCAGCCGAGGACAAAAGGGCGGCTAAAATACTCGATTCCTCCACCGTCCATGATGGATCAAGATACGCTGTAGGTATGCTTTGGGCAGAAGAATCTATCATGTTACCAGACAATTACTATTCCTCTTTGGTTCAGTTAAAATCGTTGGAAAAACGTTTAGCGAAAGATCCTCACTTAAGGGATCAATACTCAAAAACTATCGAAGATGATTTCAGTAAAGGATACGTGATTCAAGTTCCTCCCCATAATTTTTCGAACCGCAGCATACGCGAGTGTAATCTTCCTTACCATCACGTGGTGAACCCAAATAAACCTGGTAAAGTGAGGCGTGTCCTTAACGGAGCGTCTAAATTCCACGGTATGTCATTGAACAAATCGTTGCAAGTATGACCCGACCTACTGCAAAACCTTGTGTTCGTTCTCCTCCGTTTTCGTCAACATCATTTTGCCGTATCGGCTGACATTGAAGGGATGTTCCTACAAGTCGGCGTCCTTCCAGAGGACCAACCATATCTTCGTTTTCTGTGGCGGGAGGACCCCACAGCCGATGTGGTTGTACACCAGTACACCAGACATAACTTTGGAGCGAGAGATTCGCCAACGTGTGCAAGTTATGCATTGCAAAGGACTGCAATAGATAATCAGGCGATGTTCCCTGACGCAGCGTCCGCAGTTCTAGAGAAATTTTATATGGACGACTACCTAGACTCCTTTGAGGACCCTGATGTTGCATTTAAAATGGGTCAAGAGTTGATTACTCTGTTAGCTCTAGGTGGTTTTAAATTAACTAAGTTCATAAGTATTGTAACTAAAATTAATAAAGAGTTAAACCCGCCCCAAAGCGCGCCGCAACAGGAAAGTAAAAACTTTGTAACTTGTGGGGATAATTCTACTGATGTTCTTGGTCTGAAGTGGGACCATATCGACGACACTTTGTTCGCAAGCCGTGGTGTCAACCGTGAACTTAAAAATTCGATAACACAGCGAACAGTGTTAAGTTTTGTTTCTTCCGTTTTCGACCCCATAGGTCTCGTAGCGCCCTATACCGTAAGAGCGCGATTTTTGTTGAAAGAAATCTGGCGCATTCATGGTCAACAATGGGATGATGAGCTACCCGTTGATATCAAGACAAAATTTCTTGCCTGGCACTCTGGTTTGCCATCTCTAGGGAAAATGAGTATAAAGCGCAGCTACTTCTCCGTACCAGTCGATTGGGTTGAGTTACACATGTTCGGTGACAGCTCAGAAGAAGTTTTTTATGCTGTATCTTTTCTTCGCGCCCGTGTGAAAACTTCACTTGAAACACAAGTTGCCTTCGTCTTTGGAAAAGCAAGAGTCGCGCATGAAAGCGCTCTGCATCCCGAAGCTTGAACTGCAGGCCGCGTTACTCGCTACTCCCTTGAAGGAAGATGTCCTCAAAGCTCTAACCATTCCTGTGTCAAACACGTTCATGTGGACTGACAGCACCACTGTGCTCCAGTGGTTAAACTCAGGTAGTAAGCAACCCACGTTCGTGGCAAACCGGATTGGAGAGATTCTGGAAAGTACGACCGTAGACCAGTGGTTTCATGTCTTAAGTGGAGACAACCCTGCTGATACGGGCACCAGAGGAATCTCAGCGGAGTCCTTAAAAACAGGCAGCTGGGTAAACGGGCCAAGTCTGCTGAAAAGTGGCGAGTGGCCTTTCAAGCCGAGCATAGAAATACTTAAGAAAATCCGCCTGGCTGGTCCCGCTTGTGACCTTAATGAAGGTTTACAGCAGGCCTCTAATTTTTCAAACGTTACACAAAAACAAAAACAACCCTGTTTGTTTGCATGGGAAGAATTCAGCTCGTTTCGTAAACTCCAGCGAGTGGTTGCCTTCATGCTCAGGCTTAGTCCGAAACACCGGCACTACCGCACTAAAGTCAAGGAAATAACCGATCCGGTTGAATTAGAAACCGCCAAACAACGACTTTTGTTGATTTCCCAAAAGGAACCTTTTGAAGCGGAATATTTACTCCTGTCCTGCGACCAAACCGTAAAAAAGTCTAGTCGTATCGCACAATATGCACCGTTTATTGGTCCTGCATTCCTAATTCGTTCAACTGGGCGAACTCGCCGCCTAGTTGAAACTAAATATGACACAAAACACCCCATAATACTTGATGGAAGGCATTCTCTGGTGAAATTGTTCGTAAGTGATATTCATTATCGCTATCAGCACCAGTTCTTAGACTACCTGCGAGCTGTAATTCACTTAGAGTTCGCAATCTTGAACCTTCGCTCTTTATTAAAGTCCATTAAAGTCAACTGCCTTATATGTAGGAAGCGCAAAGCCAAAACTGTCACAACTATGATGGCAGAGCTTCCAGTTGAAAGGCTTGGTTACCGCCAGCCTCCCTTCACAAACTGTGGTGTTGATTACTTGGACCCTTTTACGTCTCAATCAGGAGGAGTTCTGAAAAACGATGGTGCTTCCTTTTTACATGTATGACCACCAGAGCTGTACATATTGAGATTGTCTCATCCATGAACACGAGTTCGTGTGTAATGGGAATCGAAAAATTCATTGCCCGTCGCGGCACTCCATCAGTCATTTGGTCTGATAACGGCACCAATTTTGTGGGAGCCGAGAAAGAACTCTTAAATTGTATTCAGTCGTGGAACGGACAAGCACCCCCAGAGCTGGCGAAAAAGGGTATTAAGTGGAAATTTAACCCCCCGGCAACCCCGCATCACGGTGGTTCTTGGGAACGTCTCGTTCGATGTTGTAAAAGGGTATTCTACGCAATAAGAGGAAGTAGAAAGCTCACTCCCGAAGTCCTTGAAACAACTTTCTGTCTTGTAGAACAATCACTGAACGCTCGACCTATAACCTCAGTAAGTGCAAGTCCGGATGGTTTTGAGGTGTTAACTCCTAATTATTTTTTGTTAGGCCGAAATGGTACTAGCTTTCCTTGTCTCTCTTTCCAGGAGCACTCCGACCATCGAAAGCAATATATCTGAGCGCAAAGCTACGCCAACGCAATTTGGAGTCGTTGGCTGCGAGATTATGTGCCAGCGCTGAATAAACGCAGTAAGTGGCACTCCGATAGTGACGTTATTTTAAAAACAGGGGATTTAGTGTGGATTGTTGACGAACGCAGCCCAAGGGGACACTACCCTCTGGCTCGTATAAAAACCCTTAATTACGGAAAAGACAACATAGCCCGATCCGCCGTAGTTACCACCCACTCCGGGGAGCTAACTTGACCGGCCGTAAAACTCGCACCCGTTTTCGCTCCTTTGGGCGCGGAAGATGTTCGCGCTTAAATTAATCTTAAATTAATGACGTCATTATAGCGCGAAAGTGAAAAAGCTAAAATTAGATTTTCTTAGACAAAAGGCTGTTATATTATCTGTTGAATTGCCGATAATTTACAGATATTGAAGCAGGTTTTTGTAAGGTCTTACAGGATACACGAGAGTGCGGCACAATCAGCAATCATGTGCAACAGTTGTTTGTGCTATTGTTCGGCGAACGTAAAGAAACCTACACGTTCATGTTTAGCTTTATGCTAGTTCTAATCTTAGGTTGACTTTACATTGTATTGTATTGTCATATTCAATTCTAATTCTTCAATGATGTTTTTAAATGTACATTTACAGTTTTAGTCTTTTGATTATTTAAGGATCTGTCATGGCGCAGCCAGCAGCTTTGTTTCAAGAGGAGCGTACATATGTGTATGGCGTTCTTCCATGTTGGAAGGTATTAACATTGGGTCCTCCAACTCCTGGACCAGCTGGATTGAACCATTCTTTGAGGCAGTGGCATGGAAAAAAAGTGATCCTCATGGGTAACTGACACTTTCAAGAGCGTTTGTGTTGACCCCTACCCAGAATAAACAACCAGTACAAAAACTGATATAGAAAAGAAAAACATATTCGCTACGGATGCAGCGAGTGCATGAAATTTTACCGAAATAGTTCAAGGGTCTAGTTTAAATCGACCTAAATTATACGCAAACTATTGTACATTATCAAGAAGCCAAATCTAGGATAAAGTGGAGATCTTTCTTATTTTTAGGAACGGAAAAAAATTTTATGCTAAAATATCCTATGATAATTTCAATAAAATTTAAATGGTAGTTTTTACACAAAATGCGGAGAAGTATTTAAAGAAGGTTGAAACATTATTCACGAAGGCATCAGGACATCTACCGAAAGGAGGGGTACAAAAATCATGCATATTATTTTCAACTCAGTCCAAGCAGCTTTATGCAAATGGCCATTGGAGAAAAAAGTGAGTGCTCAGAGACGTCTTCATAGAACACAAGATATTCACAGCGATTGTGAAAGAAGTTATGCGAAGAAAAGGTTCCACATGAAACTTTGAAGTCAAGTACGGTAGTTCAGTCCTGTGGCAAAAAAAAACAGCTCTTTTTAAAAAAACTACTGTCAAATGAATCCCCATCTTACCCGGTCCGTATAACGCAAGAACATACGGGGGGGGGCTACCCACTAGGTCATTGAAAAAACTGTATCTTAAAATATAGTAGGTGTAAAATTTGTCAGAATATATAGTTCTTTCTGTTTGCTTCTTAGCTTGGAGATGAAAATATAGAATTCGAACAAGACAGCAAAAATAACTTGGAGTTCGGATGATGAAAGAGATGGAAAATGAGGGCGCAAACCAAGAGTGTAAGCAACTCAGATGTCATCAAAACGACCTCTGGAAAATTGAAATTACTAAGGTAAATCAAAGAGCTAACAACCAATTTCTGCTCTAAATAAATGTAGTCCAGCAGCTGTAGATAACGGTAAAAACGATTTTCAAATTCAAGTATTCTGTCACCAAAGTCTTCTCATTTTTGGTACAAAAAAGTCAATTCTATCTGTATAGCCTCGATTATCGTTCCCAAAACGGTTGTAGCTAAAGCAATTCTCTAGTTACGTTAATCTGTAGATTTATTTTGTGTTTACTCAATCTTCTTTCCATTTTGTCATTGCGAGAGGGGTGATGCCGAGCGGGTTGACAAAAAGCCAAATAAAATAATGAACACAATTTCGAAAAGTTTTATTTTTATGTTTATTACGATAGCAGATTCCAGTATGTTACTTTTATTGTTGACTTTGAAGCCTTACATACTACTGACCTGATGACCAATATTTTAACCGCAAAATTATAATTTTGTTGCAAGTTGGGACCAAGGCCATTTTCCACTCCCCAACATTTAAAAAATAGATATTGCGAAATCTGCAAGGTGAGCAACTTATCTAATGGGAACACAATTGGTCTTCATACCGTTCATCGTAGTATTACGCTTTCAGCCACATTGTGTGGGGCTGAATTGAAAAGAGTCGACAATTATAGTAGATTTCCTGGAAGTTTTCAATGGGCGCATAGGATATGAATAATGGGCTCTTTTTCCTTTCCCCCCCCCCACCTGCAAAACTTTACATGTAAATTTGTTGACTACATTGTCCGATTGTTATGAAAATTTACATATTGACTAATAAGGCTACGACAAACATATTTGGTCTTCATACTCAACCTCGTAAACCCACTCATTACACTAATATATTGAAGCTCGTCTGAGGTGGGGGGAAAAGGAAAAAGAGCCGAATAATGTTTTTGGTTTGTAGAAAAGCGCGAAAACTTTTTTTCGCAAAGTCAGCAAAAAGTCAAGTCAACGAAGTGTCAGATTTGTTGAAAAGCGCGAAAATGTTTTCCGGCAAAAACAGCAAAAAGTCACATCCGTCCAATTCTATGTCGTTTTCTGACAATTTTTTTTCGCAAAGTCAGCAAAAAGTCAAGTCAACGAAGTGTCAGATTTGTTGAAAAGCGCTAAAATTTTTTCCGGCAAAAACAGCAAAAAGTCAAATCCACCCAATTCTATGTCGTTTTCTGACAATTTTTTTTCGCAAAGTCAGCAAAAAGTCAAGTCAACGAAGTGTCAGATTTGTTGAAAAGCGCGAAAATTTTTTCCGGCAAAAACAGCAAAAAGTCAAATCCACCCAATTCTATGTCGTTTTCTGACAATTTTTTTTTCGCAAAGTCAGCAAAAAGTCAAGTCAACGAAGTGACAGATTTGTTAAAAAGCGCGAAAATTTTTTCCGGCAAAAACAGCAAAAAGTCAAATCCACCCAATTCTATGTCGTTTTCTGACAATTCTACTTTCTCAAGATTTTTAATGATGCAAGGTTTTTGGTTTTCTTTGTTGAATGACAATCACAATGAACCCAAAAAACCGTAGTGTAATTTTTCTTGTTTTTCCTTTGAAATTTGCACTGTTTCATAAATTGTCATTCATTGGTTTTTTTTTGCCACTGACAAAAATGGTTTTGAATCAATTTGAATCAATTTTAATTGATTTAAAACCCATAAAAACTGATCAACCATGTGCACATTATAAATGATTTTAAACATATTTAAACAAAATTTAATGGGTTCTTTTTTGCCAAAAGCTCAGTCGTCTTTAATTTTAACTTTAAGTAATTTTTTTGCTCAAAATTTTGAGTAAAATTTGTTGTCAAAGAAATCTCCGCTATTGATGTATTTATCTATAGCCGTTTGAGGAGCGTTTATGACCGCAAGCAAGTAATTCCAGTAGGAATTCCGTACAATTCTGAGAGCAAAAAAAAATTTCCGAAGTCATGAAAGAAAACAAATTTACACGCAATGTCATCAATTGTTTTTATTTCCAATTTCATCAAATATTTTTTTTATTTCAAATGAAAAAAATCAATTTAAATTATTTTACAAGGCCTCAAAACAAAGGAGCGCTCAAATGACAAAAGAAAAATTTAAGTCATTGAAAGTCCTTTTGTTTTCGTTTTTTTTTAGCTTGGAAAGTGATATCATTTTATATCACTTTAAGAGTTTTCAAAATTCATCCCACATATTTCAAACCATATACTTTCCCGATACAAAAATTGATCTGAGTTTAATCTGTATTTTTTATATGCAAAACCGACAGCAATCTATTTTTTGTTAGAGCTGGGCCTCTTTTTCTCCCCCATTTTCCCGAAAATTTGATCAAAACGAAATTCACCAACAGTGCCACCAACTAAGCATTTTATTTGCGACTTAGGTTAGAAAAAATTCTCCATAGTAGTGCACAACGCTTCGCTTAAGTAATTACAGTTATAAACTCCCTTTGGATTTTAGAGCTCAACATAATCAAGCGTAAGAACTTCTTGATCAAAAACCTCGCTATTTACGCTAAAATGGAAAACTTTAAAGCTAGTTAATCTTTTTTTTGTCTTCAGAACATCGTCGCCTTCTCTCTTATAAATTTCCTCGCCATGTTTCATTGGCAGTTTTAAATCATTGAAACTTTGGGTTTTTCAGCAGCAAGGGTGGATTTAGGCGGACTCCTCCCCCTTAGGGATTCGACCCCATGCCGACCCAAAGGATTCGACCCCATGCGCGCCAAAAAAACACCAAATTGAGACTCATTTTCTTGAAGTTTTGCAGTGATTTTCTGTTCACCTTTTCCGGTGGTTACAAAAATTGACATGATGATTAATTACGCAATGACAAAGATAATTGTTCTTCGCTTAACAAAAAAGTGTGCCTTTAGCGCTTATAGCATGCATATAAATTATAAAAGTCACAAAATTTTGGAGTGGTGAAATGTTACAAAAACTACCAAGAAGTTTGAAAATCAGAGTTTTTTTGGCTGTTTCTATTATTTCTATTAGTGCTGTTTCTATACTTTTCTTTTATTTCTGGCCTGCATTGTTTTTTTTAAATTAATTCTGTTCTCAAGGGCAAAGGTCGTGAAAACTGTCATGTGAGTTAACCGAGTAATTAGAAACCACTATTTATTTTCAAATACAAACACAACCTCAAAAACTCATTGATACTTTCATCGATTTTTTCATCTGGTGAAGCGCAATGATGTTAATGTTCTCGCTAAAAAAAGCGAGCAAAATCAAAGGTCGTGAGTTTTGCTTTTTCTGTTGAGCAAAGATCAATGTCTGGAAAAACAAAATAGCTGATCAAAAAAATTTCACAATTTTTTCAAGAGCTGTTTTAAAATTGATCTACTGTTTTACACTAGTGGAAAAAAATGAAGCGCAATTTTTGGATTTTTTTCTCTAAAAAGCCTGGTTGCATCGCCAGATTTGGACAATTATCAGAGCTACCCTCTATGAAACTATCAATGTTTAGTTTAATGATTTATTATTGTAATCCGGGTTTGAAAATGCCAGATTTTTTCATCTGCACTAAGTTTTGCATCATAGTGAGCAGTGAACCATTTCTTGAATTGAAATAATTTGTGTATACCTTTTATTGAACTGGCCAGTTTCTTAGTTTTTCACGCGGATTGAAAAACTTAGTTCAGATGAAAAAATGTGGAATTTGCAGACCCTCATTATATTGGTAACTCATTGAACCAAAACATTGATAGTTTTGTAAAGGGTACATATGATGGCTTTGTCTTGGTCTATATAAAAATTTAAATGAAATTCAATAAAACTTTTTTCCAAAATGGAATTTGAAGAGACATTTTAGAAGAAAAAAAAACATAATTTGCGTTTACTTTAGTCCAGCACTAGTGTATTCTTCAGTTAGCGTATTTTTTACTTTGATTTCTGCTTTTAAAAGCCAAAATGTAAGCCAGCCTCTTTCCTCCCCCCTCCCCCCACCTGAACATTTTGTTTCCGAATGTGACGAAAATCGGCATGCGATTTAATTAGGCCTTGATGATGATGAGTGGTTTCTGCGTTTCGCAGGGGATCTACGAAAGCCTCTTTTTCTAGCCTGTCTAAGCATAGTCTGTTTATCTTATTTTCCCACACTCAAGACTCAGTTATTTTTGTTGAGCGAAGCTCTTTTTCTTTTGCGACTCAAGGCCGTTTTCGCCATGACAAACGTTTTTGGTGGTCAAGAATAACCTTGTAAAACCTCTCCTTGCATCATAAAACTGATGCTTTTCTAAGGTGAGGGAAATGAATGGGAGCCGTATGGCAGTGTGTTATTATTTCTTGACTTGCAGTTTCCGATATTTAGGGTTAAATTATGAATGAAACGATATATTGTCAATCAGTCAGCTACCCGACACTGATCTACCTCAGAATCGAGACGAGGCAGAAATGAGTTGTCTGTAAACTTTCTTGTATATAAAGGCTTTTATAATGATAAGAAAATTGCATTCGTTGTTTTACAAGTACTTTATTCTGCTTGACTTCAAATAATTGGTAACGATAATAATGAAACTTCCGATTTGAATCTAATCAAGTCGTTCAATTTGACAGTATTTAATGATTTTTAAAAATTATAGCAAGTCAGCCATTTTCGATCGTGTTGCTCTAATGTTGGACAATCGCCAAAAACATAAATATGTTTTTGATAAATGTTTTCAAACAAGAGCATAAGTGGGAGAGTTTTTTCAGTTTATCAGCAAAAAATTGATGAAGCTCCAGTTTTTCTTTTAAAAGAAAATCATAAGCATACACTTCGCAGTCCTGCTTCTGGTCTGGCTTGTTATTTGAAGTTTGTGTCAAACGAACAAAAAATAGTTTCGAGGTTCAATTAAAAGATCGATAAAAGATGACACACCGGCTGATAAGTCAATTTAATTTTGGCAAAATTTTTACAACACTTCATATGACAATGTAGAGCAACAAAATTGAAGTGGTCCAAAATATAAGTTAACAGAAGTTGAAAGAATTCTTGAATATAGTTTTTCATTCTCATTATGTTAAAGGCTTTGTTTCAAAAATTTTTCGGTTTTTCAGTTTTGTTTTTTACATTTTCTAGTTAAGCTTTCATTAAGGACCACTCAAACACCATGAAAAACCATATGGTTGTGATATTAAGCCAAAGATTAGGTTTTGATGATGAACTAAACTGCTCGTTTTTCCGGAATCAGGAATTGGTAGCTCCGTTTCTCTGGGATGAGAAATTGATAACTTCTCTTCTCTGGAATGAGGAACTGGTAGCTCCTTTTTTCCGGAATGAGGAACTGGTAGCTTCGTTTATTCGTGATATCGTTGACCATGCCGGCTGTAGCGGGTAAAAAGTTGGCTTCTGACGTCACGAAAACAAACTGCAAAACGAGCGCCAAACTTCCTAGTAAGAAAAAAATCGATCTGGAGTCCATGTTTGCGGCGGTGTTCGTCTAGATGATTATTGGGAACTTTGGTATCTGTTCTGCTCTGCGGCTGATGAATCTCTCGCTCTGAAATGGCGAAATGAAATAACTTCGAGTTGAGCGAACACCTTGTTTTTATCTGCACGTGCCAAATGAGCTGTGGAAAATGTGTTCCTAGTTTCTAGATTGATAATCAGGAAAAGCTTCAATCAGGGAACCTTACAATTCCATCTGAGTTAAGATTAGTCTCATTACAAAGAATTCATTCAGACCATCTATAAGTGATCAAGTGTAAAAATGCGTCCCTTATCCTTTTGAAAATCCTTTGAAATGTTCGTTTAAAAATCCCCCCAAAGTCAGTCACGTGGCTTGAAATAAAGTAATGCCTTGTCTCTCTCAGAAAAGGGCACGGATAAAAGTAACCATGATACTTTTTTTAAGGGCAGGATAATTTTCTAAATGAAAAAGACACGCCTCTTTGAATTTTATATTAATCATGCTCAAGAAACTCAAAAACAATTTTTTTTTACAAAACTATGCATTCAATTTACAATTTATTTAGTGATACCCTTTACAAAGTAGATTTTGCGGCTGGTTTCC